GTGGCCGAGATCACCAATGCCTGCTTTGAGCCGGCCAACCAGATGGTGAAGTGTGACCCGCGGCACGGCAAGTACATGGCGTGCTGCCTGCTGTACCGCGGGGACGTGGTGCCCAAGGACGTCAACGCCGCCATCGCCACCATCAAAACCAAGCGCACCATCCAGTTTGTGGACTGGTGCCCCACTGGTTTCAAGGTGGGCATCAACTACCAGCCACCCACGGTGGTGCCCGGGGGCGACCTGGCCAAGGTGCAGCGTGCCGTGTGCATGCTGAGCAACACCACGGCCATCGCCGAGGCCTGGGCCCGCCTGGACCACAAGTTTGACCTGATGTACGCCAAGAGGGCGTTCGTGCACTGGTACGTGGGGGAGGGCATGGAGGAAGGGGAGTTCTCGGAGGCCCGTGAGGATATGGCTGCCCTGGAGAAGGATTATGAGGAGGTGGGGGCTGACAGCATGGAGGGCGATGAGGAGGGCGAGGAATACTAGTGCCTTGTCTCTGGTGTTACACTGTGGTGCTGTTCATTAAAGTGGCTCTTTCCAATGTTGCCTCATTCATTGTGCTGGGACAATCCGCCTTGCTGTGACCTGGGGGGATCTCCCAGGGGAGGGGGGCCCTTAGCTGGGCTGACTGCCCGGTCCTGCTGCCAGCTGGCACAGGGGCTGTGCTGGGAGAGGCTGGGGGATTGTGTGTGGCTGGGGTCCCTGGCTGGGTCCTGTGGTATGAGCTGGCAGTGCCCTGCTGGGCTGCCTGCAGTGGTGGGGTTCTCATGTTCCCCTCACGGTTCTGCTAGCTCTAGGGGTCACCAGGTGAGGGGGGACCCCTGAGAGGCCCCAGTGTCCTGCCCAGTGCCTGCTGCAGACGGGCTGGACGTGATGTCATGCTGCTGCTGGCACGGAGCCACTCTCGGTGTGCGGTTCTCTGCAGAGCTGGGAGGGGGTCTTGGGCGGGGGGGACCCTTCCTCCCTCCCCACAGCCTCTGGGCAGGGCCCCGACTCCTTCCCGTAAGGGCTGCCCTGGCTGCCCGGAAAGGGGGGGCTCAGGGGGGGTTGCAGAGCCCGTTGTCCAGCGCTGCCCTGCGCATGGCAGCTCCCGCACAGCCGAGTCACGGTGGCTCCGACAAAAAGGGAGGGGGATGGACGAGAGGGCCCCCTCTCCGTGGGTGCTGAGCACCCCGGGCAGAATGGGACCCGGCTCAGATGCGTGCTCTGCCTGAGCCCTGCAGCCCCAGTCCCTCTCTGCATCCCACCTGGGGGGTCTGGACCCCCATGCGACCTGAAGCGGGATCTCGTAATGCTCCCTCTCTCTCTGACCTATCGGGGCTCCTCCGTCTCCCGGGCACCTCCGCCCCCTCTGCCCCTTGCCCCTGGTGCTGCTGTCGAGGGGGGACCCACCAGCCCCCCGCCCTCTATCCCGTGAGCCCCCTGAAGGGGAGCGCCTGCAACCTCTGCCCATCATCCCGAGGGTTGTCCCCGACCACCCAAGCCCTTTTCCCCGCCCCCTGAGGGGACATCCGCAGCTCCTGATGCTCTCTCCAGCTGGGAGACCCCTCCCCTCTCTCCGTCCGGTAGCCCTAGGTCTCCCCGGCGGGGCGGAGCCGCTGTCCACTATAAACAGCCGATACCGGCAGCCACCGCCCTCCCGGTGCAACCATGAGCCGCCGTGACCGCGATCCCGGGGTTCCGCCGCCTCTCACCGTGGCCCCGGGGCGGCTGGCGGCGGCGGCGGCTGCACGGGGCGCGGAGCGAGAGGAGCTGGCGGCACTGAACGATCGTTTCGCCGCTTTCCTGGAGCGGGTCCGGGCGCTGGAACGGCAGAACGAGACCCTCCGTGCCGCCCTGGGCCGCGCCACCGCCGCCACCGGGCCCCGCACCGGGCTGGTGCAGGGGGAGCTGCGGGGGCTGCGGGAGCGGCTGCAGCGCCTCGGTCGCGACCGGGATCGGCTCCAGGCTGAGCGGGACGGGCTCGCCACCGACCTGGCGGCCCTGCGGCAGCGGTGGGCCGGCGGTGGGGCCGTGGGAGCCAGCGGGATGGGGACCAAGAATGCATCGGGATGAGGGATGCGCCGGGGTGGGGACTGGAGGATGTTCCGGGGACCAGGGAATGCACCGGGATGAGCTGGGCTGAGGGATGTACTGCGGGGGGAATAGGGAATGTGTCGGGATGAGTTATGCATGGGATGGGGACTGGGGAATGTGCCAGAGAGGGACTGGGGAATGCGCTGGCATGAGGAATATGATGGGACGAGACTTGCACCAGAATGGGGAGTGGAGGATGCAGCGGGTTGGGGATAGGGGAGCCCCGGGGAACTCGGGGTAGGCACTGGTGAATTTCCGGGTAAGAGGAGCCCTGGGAAGGGATACGCTCAGCAGGCACTGGGAAAGGCACCCGGGATGCACGGAGGGCACTGGGAGGCGCTGGGAGATCTGGGCTCTGCGGAAGGGCGGGGCACTGGGAGGGGCAGGGCAAGGGTGAGGGCACTGGGAGGGGACTGGTGCGAGCGCTGGGGGACGCTCCATCCCCGTTCTCCTCCGCTCTGTGTGGAGGGGGCTGCAACAGGAGGCGGGAGGGGGGAGGTCTGCACCCCTGCCCCCACCTCCCTCTCATCCCTTGCTGTCCCCAGGCTGGAGGACGAGACACAGAAACGTGAGGATGCGGAGAAGAGTCTGGTGCTGTTCCGCAAGGTGAGGGGACTGGCGGGCCCATCTGCCCATAAAGTACCGAATCCTCATCCTCCATCATCCCGGGATGGGCTCCCATCCCCTCCACGCTGCCCTGCAGCTCATCCTGGCCTCTCCCACAGGACGTGGACCACGCCACGCTGTCTCGCCTGGAGCTGGAGCGCAAGGTCGAGCTGCTGATGGACGAGATCGGCTTCCTCAAGAAGCTGCACGAGGAGGTGGGGCCGGGGTGGGATGGGGCGAGGGGGAACAGGTCAGGTCCTTGTGGCACGAGTGACGCTCACCCGGCCGCGCAGGAGCTGCGGGACCTGGAGGTGAGTGCCCCGAGCCCGGCGGGGCTGGCAGAGGTGGAGGTCTGCAAGCCGGAGCTGACGGCTGCGCTGCGGGAGATCCGCACCCAGTACGAGAGCATCGCTGTCAAGAACCTGCAGGAAGCCGAGGAATGGTACAAGTCAAAGGTACCCGGGGCTGGCAGGGATTTTGGGGCGGCTGAGCCATCCCAGAGCCCTGACTCGCCTGGCCCGCGCAGTTTGCCGACCTCTCAGATGCAGCAAACCGTAACCACGAGGCTCTGCGGCTGGCCAAGCAGGAGATGAACGAGTCCCGGCGGCAGATCCAGAGCCTGACCTGCGAGGTGGACGGGCTGAAGGGCGTGGTGAGAGCCGGGGAGTGTTTGCGGGGGGGGGGGGGGTGTGTGTGCAAGAACCAGACCCCACCCCAGCCCTTTGCATCCACTTCTCCCCCTGCAGAACGAGGCGCTGACACGGCAGATGCGGGAGATGGAGGATGAGTTCGGGGAGGAGATCGGGAACTACCAGGATGTGGTGGGGAGGCTGGAACAGGAGATCCAGCAGATGAAGGAGGAGATGGCGCGGCACCTGCGCGAGTACCAGGACCTGCTGAACGTCAAGATGGCCCTGGACATCGAGATTGCCACATACCGCAAGCTGCTGGAGGGCGAGGAGAGCCGGTGAGGGGAGCTCGGCACACGGCGTCTCCCCAGGGCCAGCGGGGAAGGTCCCCCGGATCGAGCCACCCGGTTATTGTGGGATTTTCTTGGGAGGAGGCAGCTCAAGGCCTTGTTCCCACAGGAAAACAAGAGGTTCCCGTGGGAGCTTTTTGCTGCTGAGATAAAGGCAAGGCCAGGGGCTGGCGGGATGATGGGGGAGCTGCCTCCAGCTCTGCTCCGGGTGCCAGCCTGGCAGCCCACGGGCACAGCCCCCAGCTGAGCTGGGATGTGGGCCATGGACTCGAGGGTATGGAAGGGCCAGGGTCACTGGCAATGTCCAGGAATCCCAGACCTTGCTCATCCTCCTCTTCCCCCAGGATCACCATCCCACTGCAGCCCACCAGTTCCTTCAGCATGAGAAGCTCAGGTGAGTGACAAGCTGGGGGTCCCCCACTATGTCTGGGGGTGTGTGGGTGTGGGTGAGTCCCTGTGCTCCTGCCCGGGGTGTCTGGGAGGGCATGGGGTGCTGATGACCCCTCTGTGCCCAGTGCTGGAGCCCCAGCCTGCGGAGAGCTCGGCACGGAGGATGGTGCTCATCAAAACCATCGAGACACGGGATGGGCAGGTGAGAATTGGGGGTGCCCTGCCTGGGAGGCCCAACCCTGCCATGGGACTGATCCCCAAATTCTTCTCTTGCAGCAAGTGGTGACCGAGTCGCACAAGGAGCGAGCAGGGAAGTGACAGAGAGGAGCTGCTGCGATGGCCCCGACCCCATGGTGGGGGTTTTGCCAGACCCTGCTGCGTCCTGAGCAGGGCATGGAGCAGAGCAGGGGGGCTGGGAGTGCCCCAATTCATATTCCTGCTGTCAGCACCACGGGACTACGCTGTTGTGTGTCCCTGTGCCTTTGCAGTGTGTCCCTGTGCCTTGTCCCCCACTATTTATCGCTATTTATCGCCTATTTATTATTCTCCCAACCACAACCCCAGCTGTATTTAATATCGAGTGTTCCCCACGCTGTCCTGGGGCCCAGGGGGTCCCGGCTTCCCCCCCGCCACCAGAGCTGGCACCGGCTGCCCCCGGGGTTGGCGGGTCTGGTGACATCCACGCGCTGTCCCCTCTGGTGTCACTGCCCTGGGGAGTGGGGCAGAAAGGGAAGCAGCGCTCGGCTGAGGGGGGATCTGCGTCCCCAGGGTCCCTCTCCATCACCACCGCTCCCATCCTGGGGGGAGTCTCACCTCCCCTCCCGTCACTGGAACCGGCAGCCGCTGCCCCTGGGGTTGGCAGATCCGGTGACATCCACGCGCTGTCCCCTCTGGTGTCACTGCTCTCGGGAGTGGGGCAGAAAGGGAAGCAGCGCTCAGCTGAGGGGGGGGATCTGCGCCCCGTTCTGTCCCAGGGCCCCTCTCCATCACCACCGTTCCCATTCTGGGGGGTTTCACCTTCCCTCCCGTCACTGGAACCGGCACCGGCTGCCCCTGGGGTTGGCGGATCCGGTAGCACTGTCCCCTCCGGTGTCACCACCTCGGGGAGGGACGCAGGAAGGAGCCTCAACCCCGCTCCCTCCTGGGACTCCGCGACTTCCAAAGGACCGACGGGCACTCCCGGTATCCCGGAGGGCTCCAGGCCCACGGAGTGTCCGGCCGGAGCGGGCTCGGTGCTCCCGGAGCGGGCTCGGTGCTCCCGGAGCATCGCGGGACCGGGGCTGGCACCGCCGGGAGCGCCGCGCTCATTCCCTACCGGCACCGCCAGAGGGCGCCACCGACCCGGCCCGATCGCTGCCGCGCGTTAATTACGTATTAATTGCGTGTTAATTACGGGTTAATTACAGCGTGACGAGGCTTTGGGTGTGCGGGGAAACACCCTGATTTCTCTAATTGCGTTATTTTAAGCTTTTTTTTTTTTTTTTTTTGCATGATTAATTGCGTTACCTCAAGCAAATTATGCAAAATTGCGTTCATGCAAAATTTGCGTGTTAGTTTTGGTATTTTAAGCAAATTTTTGCATTATTTCATGATTTTCAGCATTTTTCGCGCCACTGATTAAATTATTTAAAGCAAATTATAAATTGCGTTATTTAAACAAATCTTGCACATATACTTGCATTACTTAAGCAAATGTTGCACGACTGCATTTTAAGTAATTTTTTGCATCATTAATTGCGTTATTTTAAGTACTTTTTTCATTATTGTGTTATCGCAAATTATTTAAAATTGCATAATTTCATGGAATTTTGGCATCATTAATTGCATTATTTTATGCAATTTTTGTACCAATAATTACATGAACAAAATAATATAAAATTCCATTATTTTAAGCTTTTTCATTATTAATTAAGTTATCTTAGGTCATTTTTTTCATGAAAATTGAATTATTTTAACCGATTTTTGCACTGTTAATAGCATTATTTTAAACCGTTTGCATTATTTTGAAGCACTAATTGCAATATCGCTCACTCTGGGTCACGGCAACACTGCAGGAACAGCCCCGGATCCCTGAGGGAGGGTGGGGGAGCTCTGCCAGGGGGGTTTGGTCACACAGGACCAAGGAGTGTCCTGTCCACCCCTCCCCAGGACGAGATCAAGCCGAGGTGACAAACACAGAGTCCCCTGAGAAAGGGTTTAATGAGGGGAGGGGGTGGCACTGCTGGTGCTCGCACAGAGAGGAGGTCTGGGGGGACAGACAGACAGACAGACGGGTATGAACACTATGTACAGGCACCCCCCGCCCCACCTCCGGGGATCTGCCCCCCTGGAGCAGGGCTGGGGGCGCTTGCAGTCCTGCCAGACTGGGATTTGGGCTGGGGTGGCACTGGGAGAACTGGGATGGGGCCGGGGGCTCTTTGGTTTCGGCGTTAAGGCTGCGTGGGGGTGACTGGGACACGAGGAAGGGCCCAGTAAAACCAGTTCCCCACGCCAGAGGTCACCTGGAGGGGTGAGGCTGTGTCTGGACCCCCCCTGAACGAGGGTGACACTCAGAGGCTGGAGAAGGGGGAGCTCAGGGGTGTTCCCCGCTTCCCCCCGGGCACAAACCTGGGTGTGAGGACAATTCCCACCTGTGCCCAACACGCTGGGCGCCCCCCGGCCGCAGAGGTGCCCACCTGAGGGCAGGTACCCCCCGTTAGGACAGCGAGTTGAGGAAGTGGCTCTCCCCTGCCAAGGTGCTCAGCATGGAGCTCATGTCCCCCACTGCCATGTTGGCACCCCCCGACGAGGGCAGCAGGAGCCCGCCAGACGGGCTGGGGGGTCCGGGCACTGCTGGGGGGGTCTCCACGTCCTCCACGATGGCAGCAAAGTCAAGGTGCGTGTTCTCCAGGTCCAGTGAGTCCAGGCTGTTGGCCACCTGCTCCCCCGAGTCCAGGTAGTAACAGGAGGTGCCCCTGAGTCCCTCTGGGCCGTAGTGCCCGCTCCCCCCGCAGCTCGCTGCCCCCTGGCCCAGCAGCTTGTGCCCACCTTTGCCCCCCTGCCCATGGGGGCCCTGCCCGGGGTAGTACAGGGGGAGGTTCCCGGGCCCGTCGGGCATGGGGCGGGTGGGGGGCAAGCGTGGCAGGCGCCGGGCACCGGTGTCCATCCCCTCGTAGCCATGCCCTGGCTGTGCCAGGTTGCTCGGGTAGCTCAGGCTGGGTTGGTGACCCGGTGGTTTTGGGCCACCTGGAGGGTGTGGGATCATCTCGGGGCTGAAGCAGGGGGGGCTCAGGAGGTGCTGGGGCTCCGCCAGGCTCTGCAGATGATCTGGTTTGGGTTGGTAACTGCAGTACCTGGGGCTGAGGTACGGCGGGGCTGGCACAGCCTGGCACTGCCCGGGCTCGCTGCCCATCCCCACGCTGGCCACACTGCCCTTGGACGGGGGCTGCTCCCCCCACATCAGCGCCTGCTGCGCCTCCACATAGTTCCGGACCATCACCTCTTTGGTCTGCAGGGTGGGGGTCTGGGCTCTGCGGGTGCCCGGGCTGGCCATGCCCATGTACCCGCCCGGTGCCGGTCCCGCAGGGGGGTACCCGCCCGGGCCCACCTCCATGGCGTGGCCAAAGGACGCTGGGGGCCCGCCCAGTTTGGCACTGGGGCAGGGAGGAAGTGCTGGGCTCGGCGCTGGGTATCGCTGCTCGGATTTGATCTGGAGTCGGTTAAACCGGTGCCCCCTGGAAAATTCACCGTCCTGGCATGAGCTCACCAGTTTGGGATGCTGCCCACAGGCGCTGGGATGGGGGTACTCGATGCTTTGATGGGGACAGTGTGGCCCGGACATGGTGGGAGCTGCAGCACCGATGCTTTGCCTGGAGCTCATGTCCAGCGTGCCCTGGGGGGGCCCGTCCCAGGGCTCCGGCACGGCCCCGTTCCCAGCAGGCAAACTGGGGAAGCGCTGGTTCATCTGGCACTGCGGGAGGGAGAACTCGGGCTGCAGCAGCCCCTCCTCCATGTCCCCGTGTGTCCCCACCATGGTCCGCTGAGCACCATAGATGCCACCCTGGAGCTCCACACCGGTGCCCTGGCATGGGAAGCTTTCCTCGGGATAGCTCAGGTACTGATCCATGTCCAGCAGGCCGGACTCGGGGCCGGGACCCCCCATGCTCTCCAGGAACACGTTCTCGGTGATGCTGGGGGGCCGTGGGGAGAAGCCGTGGCGCTGCAGGTTGGCCTCGGAGCCGCCCAGGGGCTGCAGTGCTGTCCTGGCCACGCCTGGCACGCTCACATTCCCCACACTCTTAAACCGCTGCACCCTGGGCACGGCCGGAGGCTTGGCCACCGTCCGGGCAGGGTCACTCGCCCGTCGCACGCCGTGCCGGGGCACCAGGTGGGCAGGGACACTGCCTGGGTAGCCGGGCTGGTCGTTGGAGCTGTGCCTTCTCAACAAGCCATTGGCGATGCAGCGAGGTCCGGCAGGTGCGGGGTAGCCCCCGGGCACGCCACCGTGGCCACCTGTGGCCACCTGCTCCACGCTGGGCAGGGGGGTGGGCGGGGGCCCGCCCGTGGCTGCGGCGTACTTGGCCTTGAGGCGGTAACGCTGTGCCGGCGTGAGGTTGCCCACCCCTGGCAGCCCCCCACAAACGCCGGCGTCGCTGGAGCGCCGCGACTCGCCCGGAGAGACGGGATCGTAGCCATCCCCTGGGCACGGCCCGCCGGGCATCGCCCCGGCATCGCCGCCCGGGCACGGCCCGCCCAGGTACGGGGACACCAGGGACGAGCGGCGGCTCACGGTGTAGGCGGAGCTGACGGTGCTGGTGCCGCTGCTCCGGCGCTCGCCCAGGGCCACCAGGCCCAGCTCTGCTGCCGACAGCTCGGCGATGCGCCGGTGAGAGGCTGGCGGTGGCACCGGGACACCGGGCACCTCCCCGGGCAGGCCTGGGGGAGACAAGGAGGAGTTACCCGGGGACACGGCGTGGCAATGTCAGAGCAGGGACAGGAGCCACCTCCAGAGCTGGGATGTGGCTTCTCACAGTTATCCTGTGAGGACAGGGAGCAGGTGGCAACAAAGACGAGCAGAAGCTCGTTGAGATTGGAAAAGTCATGGAATGGTTTGGGTTGGGAGGGATCCTAAAGATCACCCAGTTCCACCCCCTGCTACAGGGGGGCAGGAACATTTTCCACTAGACCAGGTTGCTCCAGCCTGGCCTTGGATGCTTCCAGGGATCCAGGGGCAGCCACAGCTTCTCTGGGCACCCTGTGCCAGAGCCTGCCCACCCTCAGAGGGAAGAATTCCTTCCAATATCCCATCTAACCCTGCCCTCTTTTCTAATGTGAAGCCATTCCCCCTAGACCTGGTTCTCCAGGCCCTTGTCCAAAATCCCTCTCCCGTTCTCTTGGAATCCCTTTAGGGCTCTAAGGTTTCCCCAGATTTTGGGGTCCAGCAAGGCATGGAAGCCTCTGGCTGCCCACCAGACCTCTCCACACACTTCCCATGGGCCAGGCCCCACATCCCCATGGGGGAGGCACCCCAATCTCACCAGCTCCGGGGATGGGGGGCAGGTTCAGGCCCTTGGAAGCCGCAGGTTTCCTCAGCTGCTTCAGTTTGTCGATGCGAAGGTTTTCCAGTTTGTGCAGGGCCATGAGCCCCGAGGTGCCCATGGGCTCCCCGGGCACCACGTCCTCCAGCGTGGACAGGTCCTCGTAGCTGCCACCAGCGTTTCCTGCCATCTCCACGCCGCTGTCGTTGTTGGTGGTGCTGCCCAGGGGCGAGTGGTCACTGCTGCACGAGGACTGCCCACCTGGGCTGGGCTGAGGCTTCTGGGGAGAACCAGAGCACGGCCAAGGGAAAGGGGGTCAGGTACCCACGACACCCTCAGAGTCATCATGAAGGTTGGAAAAGCCTCTGAGATCACTGAGTCCAACTATTAATCCAACACTGCCGTGTTCACCACTAAACTACATCCCCAAGTGCCAAATCCCCAGGTGCCACATCCCCAAGTGCCAAATCCCCAGGTGCCACATCCCCAAGTGCCAAATCTCCAGGTGCCACATCCCCAAGTGCCACGTCCAGTGTTTTTTGGACATCCCAGTGTTTTTTGGACACTTCACCAGAGATGGTGACTCCACCACTGCCTTGGGTAGCCCATTCCAGTGCCTGAACACGAAGAAATTTTCTCCAATATCCAACTTAAGCCTCCCCTGGAACAACTCGAGGCTGTTTTCTCTTGTCCTATCACTTGGGGACGATCCCCCAGCACCAACCCCTCCCTCCTTCCTCCACTGCCCCTGCAGCTCCTCACCAAGGCCAGCTCAGGCACCAGGAGTTTCCCATCGTCCTTCCGAGCCTCGCTGGGGCCGTTTGTGTCCTTCTCCTGCTTCATATCCGGGGGGGCACTGGGG